GATTTCGAATGCAACTCAACCACGTGAATCTTCACCATACCACGAGCACTTTCTGCCTTCCTTTACTCCCCCAATGCCCCATTTTCGTTTGGAATCTCGCTTGCTATGCTTGAGAGGTTATTCTGGCGCCTTTGTTGCCATTTCTGAGAATTTTCTTTATGCACTATGCACTCGTACGTTGGATTCCATTTTTTGCTGGCATAATTCGCATTGTTCGTTTTGGCAAACACTTTCTGTGGTTCCGGGCTTCAATTGGACGAGTTTTTTCATTCGTTTTGTTCCCCAGAAGAGACGTCTCATTTCTGAAGTAATTTAGAAAGTCATAAGTGAACGCTAATGAAATACAGAGAAAGCTCTTCCAGGAACATACTGAGAAGCATCCTACTTCTCGAAAGTCCTTCCTATACGTTCTCGGCTTGGGCTCATCCTTCGGAGACATTAACAGACGTGTAATCCTGACTCCTAGACTTCTTTAGGTGGATTGCGATATGCATCCCGTCTTCTCTAATAGCATACTCTCGAGAGGCTCAACTTTCAAGGGCTTTCAAGTCTCAAGAGGGAAAGCTTTAGGACAGAACTTATGCAAATTACAGTAGAGCAGTTTATCTTCAGATGAGCGGTTTTATACGGAATAAGCTTGTCTGGATCCTTCACGCAAACTTCCATTAAGTCACATTTTTCAAGAGAAAAATAAGAAACTACGTAGATAGGGAGATTTGAACAGTCCCGTATTTTTTGTCAGTTGTTGTTTTGCTTTCTGTTGAACCATTGAGTAAACCCAACAGTAAGCAATCGAGTTTTGAGGAAGTTGAAGTACACTTGCACTCGAAATTGTCGGAATTTTACTTTATTTTACTTTATTACTCTGCCTCATGAGGACTTTAACCCAGTATTGTGAACGGAGATTTAGATTTCCCCCTCTTCATTCCACTTAGAAACATTGTTTTATAGTTTCAGGTCCTTTTTGCGATGTACCTCGCATTCGTATTTCACTTAGGATCGCTCTAGGATAGCTGACGGGAAGGGTTTTCTAGGGTAAAAAGAAATACGAGAAGAGCTACATATCCTATGCATGTCATCATCAGTGTCATTAATTTTTCAACTTCAACATTTTGCAGCCGAACCTCCAACAGGCAAACTCGCCCCCATACCAATAGAACGTTCCACTTGCTGAAGACGGTTCATTTCCCAGGAACCAAAATTGCTTTTATCATTCCCCACTTTTACTTTTAGCTTTTGAAGTAAACCTAAAAATGGCCAAATAAAGTCTAATGGGCTTCTCAGGTTAAAACGCTATCTACTTTTGCTCGAAAATGTTTATTTGGCGGACTCCAAGGCCGCAAAGACGCCTCGGTGTTTTCCATACTTCCGCTTCCTCTTCCAGAACATTCTGACTTATCTATTCTGAGCCCTTATACAACTTCGTTATCTTTTCACCATTTCTCTTATTCATTTACTTCCCTAAAAGGTCAGGCAGCTCTGTTCGGGAGCACTGAGGTGATGGGAACCGCTGAAAAAGCGAATTCCTACCATAAATTGCGACTTCGGACTCAGTGACCAACGAATGCCCCAAAGAAAACAGAAAATCCAGTTATTTACCGTTTTTATTTATTTATTTAGTCATCGTGCATTTCCTTATATTAACGAAAATCAGCGCAGACTGCAGCTTACCCTGCTTACCATTGTTTACTAGCGCCGAGCTAACTTTGAAGCCCAACTTTTATTTACAAATAAGTGGTATATTCGAAGAAGTTTCTTACGAAGAAAATGAAGCGAGGTCGAGTGTTCGAAGGGACGACATGTAAGAGTTTAGCAGAAATCCTCGGTCAGTCAAGGAAGGGGCTGTTGAAGGCTAACTTGGGAAAAGCCTCCAAAAGTGCACTCCCTATTAGAAGATTTGCTTTTCTCCAACTCATACCTTCCCGAGCAACTGTCAAGCTCAAGATCTGTTGGGCGCCTTCTAGCTACAATATTTCTCCAGCTTTGTATTCATCTTGCTAATTAGGCTTGTTGACTAGTAATCCTTGTCATAATTAGTAATACGCGTATTATCGGAGAGAGTTTGTGTATAGTAAAAGCCTCAAGTGACTAGTGTTCGTTACATTCCCGCAGCTGAAGGTTTTTCCCATGACTTGGAACAGTTTTTCTCATCGTTTGCATCGGAAAGCGAGGCTGAGCCACAAAAAAGTCAAGTTCGCACTAGAATATTTCAGCCTTTCGTGTTTTACAATAACTGCCTCTACATTATTCGTGTATATGAAAATTTGAATGTATCTACTTCGGTGGCGGAGGTGGTGTAGCGGCAAGTGGCGCACCATATCATATGCATGGTCAGGGGTTCGAATCCGGGATCGGTGCCCGCCTAGGCCAACCAAGCCCTCCATCCCTCCGGGGTCGATGAATTGGTACCAGACTCGTCTGGGAGGATAAAAGCACTGTCTTGTACATCGGCTGGCCACCGCAAGTCCATATAGTATAGGCCACATACGCACTCATTAGGCCACTACGATTCTGAATGGAAGTCGAGTGCGGGGCGTATCCCTCAGAAGGGATTGTTTCACGCCAAAAGACATTATCCTTTATCCTTTATCCTTTATCTACTTCTAGTTCAAAAGTATTCAAGTAAGCAGTTGGAAAACAACCTCCTCAACACAGTTATCCTCTAAGGATTCCAGGACGGTGGTTCTGAAAGATGAGGAATGTAGTTTTTTGTCTGTATCCCTTCATGGAGGGCTCAATTACGGGGTATCAAGGCGGGATACAACCCCTGGGCCCCATATGTACGTGTACACCATGCCCACCCGTAATGTCTGTCATGAAAATCTTTGCGTATTTGCTTAAAAAATTACCAAATAGTTTGATCTGGTTCATTGAGAGCACCACATACGCCGTTCCTCTCTTGTATTTAAGATGGTGATGAACAATGGGCTACACTTCTACAATAACAAACATTTGGGAGCTGGAAGACTAGACTGGGCGGGGCAACTTTTCAGCCCTAACTCTATAGTTCCATTCAAGTAAACGCCTTTCTAACATTTATGGCTTTGTTGAGGTTATTTTTCCCCACAGATGGCTAACCTCAATAGTCTCCCGCTGCTCGGTCTTTACAGAGCCATGTTTCCAACAATTCCTGTTGTAGTTAATGCAAATTCAAGCGATCTAATGACATTTATAAATTTTCTCACTGAAAGCAGTACTTTCAACAAAACAGTAATTATCTCATCAAATTGGTAAAATCAGTGTTTAACTCAACCTGTAGTGTTCATGTAGCAGTTATTGAATCTACAAGTACATCTGGATCAAAAGAAGCTATTTCTACTCCTCGATCTGAACTGGGTTACCCAACAAGAGAGGTGCACGCACTTGCACGCAGTTGGGAACCTGGGCCTTTGCTCACTCCCTTATGCAGATCCCAACTTCCTCAGCGGTGGGGAAAAGGTTCCTCAATCGCTCCCTTCCGTTTCCTGCGGTGCCCTCTTTACAGTATTGCAAACGGAACATGGCGAGTTCGAAGAGAGGGGAAAAGGAGGGCTAAGATTTTGAGGTTTCTAGCGCCTCCTAGAATTTCTCCGCTGCAGCTACACTACTGTGCACCAGAGCTCTCATTTCACAACTTTTCGATCATACATTATGTATAGTTGTGTCTTTGAGCTTCCGTTTTGAATCTTTCTCAACACAAGATCTTTGCTTACTCATGAATTATGAACGCAAGTGACGTTTGAGGGGTACGAGTTTCCTCTTCCCCGTTTCTAAGGCATTTGATCTTCCTTGTGTATTTTTCAAAACAAGTTTCTACAAAAAGGAAACGATGTAGCATCTTTCGTCTGCTTGGAGGGGATGAGGTTTTCTGAAGTGCATGAACAAGCATGCCCGATTCAGAGTCAGCTAGCGGGGGCTTTGATCCCTCTGAGGTTGCCTGGCATAGGACTAATTTCTAGCCAAAGGTGCGTTCATTAGTCACTGAGCTCATAAATGAGAACGAGTGCCACATGGGGGGAATGGTACCTATCAATTCATAGAGCTATTTTCTTTTCGTTATTACCCTCTCTACTTCTCCAGTGCAGCTGTAGCGTTTTCCAGTGCTCGCGTTGCTTCATGAAATAATGTCGTTTCAATTTGTTTATGCTATAAACAAAAGCCAACGTCGTTACCGTATTGACGATTGATCTCACAACTCTCTTCAGGACATCCTCTGCCATTAATCAGCTCCTGTACATTTCACCTATTTGGCGTGAGAATCCGGGCGCCAGTCGATATGAACAAGTCGTTGGATGACGACGACAGCGACGAAACCACTAACGGAACCGTGTTCAAAATGAGCTTCTACGAACAATCAACTCTGTAAGTTGTTTTCATGACCTGTTTTATTACAGCAGCAATACTACTTTACTGTAAACATGCGATTTTTCTCGGAAATTGCCATCAGACTTGAATGATTTTCGGTTTTCTGATGATGACCAGAATTATTATAAGGGCAGCATTACTGATTCCAAGCCATTCCAAAAGAATTTTGAAACAGCTGATGGCGGAAAGCTACATAGAGGTGAACATAAGCAAACGTCCCATGAACAGTCTTGGTACGAATCTTGGCGTGTCCAATTACAGAAAAGAATAGCAAAGGAGAGTCAAATCACAATTAGCATGACATGCATTTAGCATGATGCCCTGGACACTTGTCTAGCACATTGACGTTCTCAAAGCTGAAGAGGATGCCCAACGTTGACGCAATCAGTATCACAGTTCAACAAATTTACCACTCTGAAGACTAAATAAAAAATCCTGAATGAGTGAAGTAATCAAGGGAAGGTGGGGTGTGGTGCGTTAGGAACGAAATGGTCGCGTCGCGGTGAGAGGAGAGGTCGCGCTCGAAGGAATGTAGCAGGTTGCAGCAGTAGGTAAGAAATACAAGAATAAAAGTACTAATAGTAGAATTATGCATAAAATAATGGTCGCATATCGATTGAGCCGTATGAAGAACTCTAGAGCTGTAATAGCGGGGAATGAGTGGTCCGCGACAGCCGCGTGCTACAAATCGATTACCCAAAATCGTTCCTAAGGCCCGTCTCCCGGGAAGGTGCTGTGTTGTGGCACCGAGAGGCCGAGAAATTGTGCCGTCCTCTGACCAGTTGAGCCGTGCCGCATACAGTAGCGCTCAAAAGTATTCGGCCAAATGCTTCTTAACTCGTACTTTCGGTCATAACTCCTTTCCTACTGTATCTAATCAAAGGAAATTTCAATATGTTTAGGATTGGTAGTGTGAATATTTGGCACTATGAACCTGCAATCCGACCATGTTCCAGATATCCAAAAGGGCTTGAACAAAAAACCAACTGGAAATACGAATGGTGGTCCTTCTAGGAGCCCTTTCCTTTTTGCCATGTCTTAAGTGTACGAGCACTAATTTCGAACCCAGAAGAGAAGAAAAACGTGCATAAGGTCGGAATAACTGCAGACGTCACAAACATGCTTTCAGCACAGTATACAAACGCCTCCCCATTAGTATGTGGATATGGCTGTTTTGCAGTCAAGTAGTGTTGGACAGAGTTAAGTATGCTTTAGCTGACATATGAAAATTTTATGTGATTTGCTCCACTGGGAAAAAAGTTACGGCAAGTTAAGGTTGGCCGAATACTTGTCAGCGCTACTGTATGAGCTTAGTTCGTAGTTGGAATTCAGCTATTTTGTCTTCCTTTTCTCTCAGAAGTGGTCTATTTGACTTCTAGGCACACTATATCGTTCTCCACTGGAGGAAAAAACCTGTGCTTTTGTGCATACCAGTTTATCACTGCGATGGGCTTCTGAAACCTCGGGCAAAAAGAGCTATTTGAATGAGAACAGGTCAGAAATGTAAGGGTGAAATGAGAACATATTGGAGTTGGGCTACTCCGCCTGCATGAATTTTTGCAACTTTCTTTTTTATTACTTCAGCAGTTTTGGTCTTTGCTCTACAACGAAATAATGAACTCTGAGAAACGTGGCATTTTCAGTGATGGTGTCATCTTCATTGGCCTTTGTGTTATGTGCGCTGGTATTCTACTAATGGCTATAAAACTATGTTATAACTATGTTCGAAATTTCCCCGTCAGAAAGGACAGTGAGCTACTTGGAATAAATATGAATTTCCCTATGCCGAAGGAAGATAGTGCCAGCTACTCTGTCGCATAGCCGGTAAGATTTTTTTCAAGTAGAGATTAAACCTTGAATAAGAATTTAATTCGTTGGAAGCTAAGCCAAAGTTTCCAGAAGTGAGAAGGTAGCTTGATAACAAAACAAAGAATGCTGGGAGGGTNCTACTTGGAATAAATATGAATTTCCCTATGCCGAAGGAAGATAGTGCCAGCTACTCTGTCGCATAGCCGGTAAGAATTTTTTCAAGTAGAGATTGAACCTCGAATAAGAATTTAATCCATTGGGAGCTAAGCCAAAGTTTCCAGAAGTGAGGAGGTAGCTTGATAACAAAACAAAGAATGCTGGGAGGGTAGTGGGAGGTGGTGAGAGGGAGAGACACGGAAAGGTATCTGTCGAAATTTTAAAGAGAATAAAGAAAAAACGAAAAGGAAAAAGAAATGAAAAAGAAAAGAAAAGAAGAAAGGAAGGAAAAAAGAGAGTTCCGAAATGGAGCATAAAATAGGGAGGTGGAGTGGAGTCATGTGTTATTGAGGACAGCAAGGGCGGGTAATAGAACGAAGTCACGAAAGGAAGAGTTAAGTTTGTGGCAACAAGTAGGAATAAACTATGGTACAAAGGCCTGGACGTGGTCTGGAATGGGCGTTCTAGAAAAGAATTTTAAACCGTTCCGAAGGTTCAATCCGTTTAATGAACGGATGGACACAGATCCTTCGAGGGAGCATTTCAAACTAATACATTTCAAGCAGCGTATCTCCATGGAGAAAGGAGTATAGCTGTCAGGTGATTCACCTTGCTCACTACCGAATGAGCTATGGACTGCTCACTAAGCGTAAAGCCGTTGAAATTGGAAGAATTTCCTATTTCCAAGTAAAATAGGCGACATTTTTGGCATACAAAAGTCAGACCCCTGACAAACTACAGATCTGTCCCAGCGCTTAGTGAACTAATGGCCCTACATTCTTTTTTCTCTAGATTAGTTCTAATAAGTGTGTTTATTATGAGCTATTATTGTTCCAGGTCATTCAGCAGATTTTGTGAAGTTAACCTCAAGGAACGAAAACTTCACTTGGCTGTTTAGAAGCCATTGGCTCATAGCTATAAAATATTCTGCTCACTGTACAACGCTAAACACTGGTTACTTCGACTTTTCTATATACCCAATATCTGTATTTATTCTCTACAAGGACATATAAATGGATATTCTATAAAGGGAAGCGCTCTTTTTGGATGTATCTTCTATTCCTGTTAGGGCCACCAAACTGTAGCGAGGTATTGAATTGTCATAGTTTATAAAAAAACAGTATAGTGATGTTGTCTCAATTCAGAAATAACAACAAGCGGTCGGAACTTGCAATGCACGAAAACAGTGTGCTTCTTGTAACATTGAATTTTGTTCATTTATTTTCATCGCAGATAAAAATTGAGTATTTAATTTTCAAGTGTAAATGAAAATTTGAAGTGAAAATGAAACTGGCGGCTACCGAAAATCTGAACAGATACATGGTATGTAACTACTATCTTCTTAAGGCACTGCTCACGATAACTTCGAGGCACCCTCTTCAGGTTGAGAAGTGGAAGAGCTAGTGGAGAATAGTACATCCACGTTTGCGAATTACAAGGCCGCTTGATAGTAGTAATAAAAGTAGAGTTAGTATGAGATTATCATGACGGAAATAAGATGGAAGGGGTATTAGGATGAGTTTTTGGTTGTTGCCATTGCGTAAAGAGCTGACTACATCGAGCCAATAATGTCCGAAACTGCCTTCGACTGTCGCAATGGGCCACGACTAGTTGTTTGGAGTTCTAATGGTAAGATGGGTTGCCTGTGTGAACGGTGCAGCCTAAACAACGCCGGCAAAACTCGTCCGCCTTGGGTGTGGCATGTAGCAGGTATGGTACGTACCTGCGTCCGAGGATGCGCACGGCAAATTACGGGGGAACGGTCGTTCCTCGCGTCCGTCGAAATTAGTTCACCACGCCCACTGATTTTACGGTACCACTAACTGGTAAGTGCCAGGGGAGCGAATGAATCTAACTAGTCCGTGCTATCTTCACTTTAAGCTGACTGCCGTGGACCGAGCGCAACTCGCATGAGCGCTGACAAGTGCGACGTTTGTCAAAGATCGCGAGCTGACACGCCGCGTGCGACAGCTGTGGCGTTACCTAGTTTCAACTTGGCTTATGCAACGGAGCACACCCAAATTGGGAGAACGTCCGTTGCGCGTGTCCGTCGAAAGTAGGTCACCCCACCCACTTCGCGCGCGGCGCATCACACTGAGGTCTCGAGATGACATTACAGTATCACCAAGTGTCATTGGAGCAAATGATTTGCATTTGTCTGTGTTATCTTCTTGTTGAACTGACTGCCGTGGACCAAACGCAAAGCGTGTGCCCCAGTGACAATTGCGACGTCTGTCAAATATCGCGAGCCGACTCGCCGCGTGCGATGGCTGCGTCGTGACCTAGTTTCGACGGACACGCGCAACGAAGCGCACCCCCCAAACTACGCAGCGAAATTCGTGGCGATTCGAACGACTCATCTTTGGACGCACGTATGTTCCGTCCCCGCATACAGCAGAACCACTCCTTGAGCCACTTGCCCTATTTAGGCTATTTTACGATCTGGCAGCGCCACAACGGTATACGAAGCAGCCACAGATTCTTGTCTTACCTCTTTGCCCGTTGGCAAAGACGCAGACGCGTCCTGCCTAAACCTAATAACTGATTACGATCTGTTAATGTCCACCAGCCTATAGCACTCCAACTATACAGCAAAATAGACACGTTCTTCTCACGGGCCAATGAGTCCGTCTACTTGCAATAGTTTGGATATATCGGAGAGGGACGTAAGTGAGCTAGTAGAAATCGACGCTGACTATAATCGCTCTTTATTCTGATTGATGCACTAAAAGACAACCGCAGAGCACATAATAAAAGGAAGTACAGCACAAGTAGAAGGAAACAAAGATTAGCATATCCTCAATCGAAGTCGACATGTGGTAACTGAAGACAAGACACACCCTGTTTTAAAAATGTGACAACATGTTCTGATATGATTTCGTAGTTTCCATGGTTTGGTAGAACAAAGATTAGGCTAGGAGTAGCTAGTCGTTAGGTCGTTGTTTTGTAAAGCAATAGACAAAACAGTTCACAGACACACTTTGCGATAATCTTCCACCTCTACGGGGCCACAGTACGGAAGTGTGAAGGCATAATAAACTATCTGCAGGGAAAGAAAAACTGGGAAATGCGCGGAAATTCTAAAACGTAAGACTTCTTTGAAACTCGTCATTTCTAAAGATGGAAGAGGCAATGGTTCCAAAGGAAGTGCTCGGACGAGATTTTCTTCCGCTGACTGCACTTACAACAAACGCGCCCCAGTGCCAATAACATCATTATATAGAAGGCCGCAAAACCCCGCCCCCTTCTCGCGAGCATTAAAAAAGTGGTTGTTCTTCAGACCCGATACTCTGTTTACTTTACTTTTTACTTTACTTTACTCTATTTCAGGCTATCTTTCAAATAGCGCCCTAGAGGACTTTCTTGTCTCGATTGGTTAGCAAACCGAGACCCAGAAATGTTCTAGACGATTTCCATCGCAAATTGTGCCTTTGAAAATACAAAACACGGTACTTTAAAGAGAACATCCATCAGTAAAGCAATGAAAAGCATAAAAATATGGTACAAGAAGTGAAATTTGTTCAAACAAAGTGTGGCATAAATACTAGTGCATGGCAGTTGACGGGTATTCTTTCATTTAAGAACTACGACCCCATAAATATTTTCCGCAGCTCTCGACGACAGTAACCGACGACAGTACGACGGTAACTCGTAACTCACCATTGAGTCAAAAAACTAAGGAAACCGTGAATATGTTTGGAAGATCACAAGAATTCTCATTTCCCTTCTAAAGTAATGGCTTTATCTGAACTCTGCTTTTTTTACAAATCTGAAGGCTTTACGCATGCATGCAGCCGTCACGAATTAATAGAACGGAAGAAGTGCAAGGATTGTACATTTGAGTGAGTCCGAACAAAATGGAAAGCCATGTGAGTTCGAAATCTGACTGGCATTATTCCATGGTAAACATTGAACAGTCGTGGTCAAAGTAGTTCTCCGGTAATCGTGGGTAAGGCTACCATAAAAAGGGAATAAGAGGCTGCTTTCATGGTCCGCCGGCCGGCCGGGCGGCGAGCCGGCGCGCCGACAGACGTAAAACGAATTAGTTCATGTGAGAATCTACGTCATCGCATTTCATTTCATAGTCAGAACCCGACCGTAAAAAATCAGACCGTAAAATAAAATGCAAGAGACGTAGATTTCTTACACGAAGTAATTCGCTTTACGGACTATGAAAGCAACCAGACGGTACAATTACCCAAACCGAAAATCAGGCGAAATTTAGGCTAGGTTGTTACAACCCGCTGTACCTTTTCAGTCTCAAAACACTCTGCTCTCAAATACCTCGCCTGGGAAGCAGTGAACTGGCCTTCAATCGAGCACTTTGCTAAACTGCTGGCTTTCATTTCGAAGCGTTCATGCCAAATGTAAACTCTGAAAAGAATTGTAGTGTCGGCGATGATTTCAAAAATCGATGGGGGCTATATTAAGATGACAACGCATTCTTATAGATATCTCTTCAACTACCACGTCCTATGCTTTCAAAAATATATTTACATGGCTGGTTCCTGAACCAGCATAATAGTCCACGAAGTTGCCACCGCAACTCAACCTGTAACGATGTTTTTCAACCACTACAACTCATTTTGAAAATGTTTAGCCTAACAAAAGCACCTTCGGGAAAGAGCGTCGTGCCAAGCATCCGTTTCATCCGTTGCTTTCCCACAGTTTCATGATTTTAAGAAGATCTTTCCTCTTACGCTTCTTGTCACGTTTGATCTTCTAAACAACACTTCAATGACATCGCACATCTCTCAGTGTAGACTTGAAACTTTACTAGTCTATACAGGGTGGCTGAAAAGTATAGGACGCCAGATTTGTAAGCGTGACTTCGAAGATAGAGATCAGAGAGACAGATCAACTTTATTGAGGGATAGAGTAGAACTACAAGATCACTTAGGACAGCAGGTGATTGAAGTTCGATCCTTTTGTTCTTACACAAGCCTCTAGACGCTCGACGCTGACTGAATCGACCGTACGCCGCAGATAGTCGACGTCGATATCGTTCCACGCCTTCTGAAGCGCCAATTGCAGGGCGTCCAACGTGCGGTAGGAGCGCAAGTACCCCCATATAGTGAAGTACATTGGATTGAGGTCTGGCATCGAGAAAGGCCAGGAATCTTTGCCCCAGTAAGCGATGAAGTGCGCGTTCAGTACGGCTTTTGTCGACTGTGAGGCGTGAGGAGGGGCCCAATCTTACTGAAGGACGGACGATCAGTTACGAGAATGTTCAGTGACCCAGGGTAGCAGAGTGTCCATTAAAACTACCTTTTGGTAGCCTTGAAGTTGATTTTTACATTCCTGTCGATGAAGACCGAAGGTGTTTTGCTTTCTGATGTCACCTCGGACCAAACCATAACACTTTTGGAAGATAGCCTGCTGTGTACAAGACGACGTTTTGGGGACCTCCCGACAGCTTTTGACAAAAACTGCCTCTGGCTCCGACGGTTTGGATAGTGTTCTACGGTGAAAATTTTCTCATTAGTCCAGATCGCCTCAGAGATGCGGCGCGCCCTCAGCTCTCGAAGAAATTTTTTGCATTTTAACAGTCGACTTTGCTTGGAGTGCTCGGAAAAACTGTCCTCGACGGAGC